AAAGCAAAAAGTTCCTATTTGGTCTTATGGGTTATATCCAATTCCTTCTTATACCATTAAAGTAAAATAAAAGCTAAGTAAAAAAAAACTCAGAAATTTTATGTTATACCAGCAAATTTATCCATTCATTATTCACTGGGTAACATAGAATATCATGATGGAATTGCTGGGCCTAAGATCTGCTCTTAACATCGAATCTAGCAGAGCCTGGATATTCTAAATCATCAGAAATCATTGTTTAAGTCAGCAATCTGGAGTACTATTATTACACAAGATTTTCAAACCCAGAAATTCTTTCATGACCCTTTCCAATCACTAGGGAGGCAATGAATATCCAATCAGCAGTAGAAATCAATAAAGCTCTGTTGAGATTCTAACTCCATGGCTGGGGGTGGTAATTTGGCTCATTGTTAAGTAGATCACTGGATTCATAAATGCAAGCCTTGCAGCAGTGTAATTCAAATTTGGTTTTCAGGAAAAAATATAATTATGGCATATTGTATTAGTTTGCTATGGCTGCCTGACAAATTGCCATACATTTAGCAGCTCTAAACTATATTCATTTTTTTTTGTTTTTTTTTTTTTGTTTTGTTTTATTTATTTATGATAGGCACACAGTGAGAGAGAGAGAGAGGCAGAGACACAGGCAGAGGGAGAAGCAGGCTCCATACACTGGGAGCCTGACGTGGGATTCGATCCCGGGTCTCCAGGATCGCGCCCTGGGCCAAAGGCAGGCGCTAAACCGCTGCGCCACCCAGGGATCCCTATATTCATTTTTTTAACAGTTTCTGTGGGTCAGAAGTCCAGAGATGGCCTGACTAGGTTCTCTACTCAGGCTCTCACAAGGCCAAAATCAAGGTAATGGCCAGGGCTGTGAGCTCATGTGGTGCTCTGGGTTCCTTGGATCTATAGTATATGGTTTTCATGTGCTCACTGGCTGTTGCTTCTCTCAAAATTTAGAGACTTCCTGCACTCCTTGCTATGCGGCATCTTCAAAGCCAGCAACAGATAATTTCCCTCGCCTTGAATTTCTCTCATGCTGCAAAATTTGACCCTGACCTCAAGACACCATTTTAAAGGGAGCATAAGTGTACAATGGAATATTCCTCAGCCATCAGAAAGGATGAATACTTACCATTTACATCAACATGGATGGAACTGGAGGGTATTACGCTGAGCGAAATAAGTCAATCAGAGAAAGACAATTATCATATGGTTTGACTTATATATGGAATATAAGAAACAACGCAGAGGATCATAGAGAAAGGGAGGGAAAACTGAATGGGAAATCATCAGAGAGGGAGACAAACCATGAGAGACCCACTATAGGAAACAAATTAAGGGTTGCTGGAAGAGAAGTAGGTCAGGGAATGGGGTAACTGGGTGATGGGCATGAAGGCAGGCACAGGATGTGATAAACACTGGGTGTTATATGCAGCTGGGGGGGGTTTATCGAACACTCCATCTGAAATTAATGATGTACTATATGTTGGCAAACTGAATTCAAATTTAAAAAGAATTTAAAACAGAAAGGGAGCATAAATATAGGTCAAGTCAAGCAAGAGAACTTCCCTTTTTAAATTTCAGTTGTGCCATATAAAATAACCTAATTATAGGAGAGATATCCCAATATATCCATGTTGTTAAGGATTATAGAGGGTGTGGACATACTAGGGGATGGGACATTTCAGGTACATCTTAAAATTCTGCCTACCTCATATGTCAGAGGCCTTAAGGATTAATTATTTAGTCTAGAGGGTCTACTATAATGGCCTACAATGCCAAGCCTTAAAATTTAGAAGAAAGAGACTGTCATATATTTTAGAAGCATTGTTCAATTTTTCTGTAAATTTGTAATTTTAAACTATTAAAGCTGTCTTTTCTATAGATGATAAACTCTAGGCTAAGGTAGGCAGAACCATACTCTTGGCTTTGAGAACAAAAAATAAAGGAGCCTTGTTTTAGCACTCTCCATGTGCTTTGTTTACCATGAATTTTTCATCAACCACACCCTATATGGGTATGTTACCAGTGTTCATGCAAAAAGTATCACATAGGATGGAGAACGCATTAAACACTTGCTCTTAATTTCTAAAGGTGAGATAAATAAGGTTATCAGGAGTTATTAGAATCTGAATTTCCAGGACTAAATTCAAGAAATTCATATCATAAGTAATTGCATTCTAGAGTCCATTCACATGGCCGGATTCATTGGCTTTATTTTACATTTTTCCATAAGGAATTGTTTATTAGTTCTTTGTTTATAAAGCAATTCACATTAATGATTTGTTAAGATCTGAGATGATGTTCTGAATTTTGTTCCTCGTGTTATTTTATTTATTATATCATATTGTTTTTATCTCTTTTTTTTATAGGTGGTGGGTGAGTAGGTTGGCTAATTGAATTTTGCTACTGTGCCAATTTGGTTAAAAATATGCATAGTTTTTAAATGTACTATGTTTTCATTATAGCATGGGTATATGTATATATGTGTATCATGTATCTATACACTGGTTTTCTGATGTTGACTTCGTCACAAAAGATTATGAAACCCGGGATAACTTACGTATTTCCATTAGCAACAAGAGATTATTTAGTAGCTCCCTGGCGCTCTCAGTTGTTAAGAATACTGGGTTTGGCTAGGCCAGTGTGAAAATTAAGGAAGCCTAAATGAGGTAAGTGGGTACAATGCCACGTATTTGGTACCTTGCAAGAAGTTTGCTATCTCAGAATAAGCAAATACTGAGGAAATACTAAATATAATACTAAATTATATTTCTCTATATACACTTACTAGCTTAAATTTCTTGATGGCAGAAAGAACTTCACAATCTCATGAGAATATCTGTGCATCTAAAAGGAAAACTGTGTGGAGGTTCCTCAAAGAGTTAAAAATAGAGCTACCCTATGACCCAGCAGTTGCACTACTGGGGATTTACCTCAAAGATAAAGATGCAGTGAAATGCTGGGACACCTGCACCCCAATGATCATAGCAGCAATGTCCACAATAGCTAAACTGTGGAAAGAGTCTTGGTATCCATCAAAAGATGAATGGATAATGATGTGGTCTATATATACAATGGAGTATTACTCAACCATTAGAAATGACGAATACCCACCATTTGCTTCGACATGGATGGAACTGGAGGGTAATATGCTGAGTGAAGTAAGTCTCTCGGAAAAGGACAAATATTATATGGTTTCACTCATACGGGGAATATAAAAAATAGTGAAAGGGATTATAGGGGAAAGGAGAGAAGATGAGTGGGAAATATCAGAGAGGGTGACAAAACATGAGAGACTCCTAACTCTGGGAAACAAACAAGGGTTAGTGGAAGGGGAGGTGGGCAGGGTGTTAGGGTGACTGGGTGATGGGCACTGAGGGGGGGCACTTGGCAGGATGAGCACTGGGTGTTATACTACATGTTGGCAAATCAAACTCCAATTAAAAAAAAGGGGCTTCTGACAGCAAGGAACGGCTTTAAAGAAGTCTTCAGATAAAGCTGGTTGCCTTCACAATTTATCTAGGGCAGCCTTGAGCACTTCCTAGCATCCACTCCCAGGGCTACCCAAAACAGAGGATTCACTTACCGTACTCTCCAAGCCTCTTGATCCTATGAAATATCTTTTGAAGAAATGACAAGTAAATTTAAACTACAATATTTAGTTCTGTAGATAACTGCAGATACATACTTAGTCTTTTTTAAAAAAAAATATTTATTCAATGGGAAAAGGAGCAGGGCAGATGAGTTCAGCCCTGAAAAAGTTTCTCCTTATACTCTCCGCTGATGCATTAGGTTGAAGGTATGGAGGTCACGTACAGTGAGTCTGGTATTAATGAGCATACACTCAACAGAACATGCCTTTAACATAACAGAAGATATACAGCAAAATGAATCAAACAGTGAAAAAAGACCTGAAAAATAGAATCACAACATGGCAGAAAAAAAAAAAAAGGTCTTCTGATAAACCTAAGACTTTACTAACAAGACAGAACGAGAAAAAGGGAGACAAAGAAGGAGTAGAGGCCAGGCAGGGGAGAGTGAAAACAAAATAGAGGAAGATGGAAAGGAAAATGGAGTCTGGGAGAAGATGTGAAAACTATCATATTGTGAAAATTTGATTCTTGAATTTCATCAGGCAACATAAGCAACAAGAAGGTTTATCCTCTTAGTATGGAACTAAGTTCCATTTGAATATATGCTTTTGTCTAAATATTTTATTTCCCTAGTTATCAAAAGTAATATTCTAGGAAGATTTACACTTGAATGACTGCCCAAAATATGTTATGATCCTGTAAAGGTGATGTAATTTCCCTTTTGGTTGATTTCTACTTAATTAGTTTTTGTCAATGTTGTACATTAATTACACTCTAACATTTCAAGGTCTGTTTGTTTTCTGATTCAGAAAACATTAGTCTGTATCCTTTAGTTATGTAAAAAGCCTAACATTTAATTAGAAATATGTCATATCAGATTTATGTAATGGGCTGTAACCTTGCCAATGCCTACATTACCGCTGAGAGATAATCAGTCATTTCAGAAAACACATTCACTCTTGGAATGCAGTGGAGTTCCAAATCATCATCCTTTCTTTGCATTCTTTTTATTTTCTCTTAATTTATTTTAATCTCACATTTTTTTCCTTTGCTCCAAACTTCCCCAACTTTCTCATCATTGCATGTATATTATCTCCACTCTTCCTTACTGACTGCATTTTCTTCTAATTTTCTCTTCTAACTTGCTAGAAACTCTTTTGTTGTTGTTGTTTTAATTTTACAAGAAGTTGTAAAGGAAATGAAGTGAACCTTGAGAAAGCAAAAGAGTGTCCCAATGTTAACTTTCAAGAACTGATTGAACAGATTCTGGAGAAAAGATTCATATGAAATTATTAAGCTAGAACATCTCTATTTACAAATAAAAATCTATTTGAAAGGAACAAACTCAGTAATTCCCCATATGAATGCTTTTAAGTCTCAAGAGTGGGACCAGTCAGTTACCTCAGCTTGACCAATAGGTACGTTTTCATAGTTGTACAAATTAGCCAGGTCTTCCAAAGTGGCATCATACGTTTCTGAGTCATAGTTGATGGGTTCCAAAGTTGGAGCAGTCACAGCAGCATCAAAGATGACAAGTCCCAGAATGAGCCTTGCTAGCATTTTCATTTTTCAAGCTTTCCTAATCAAAAAATACTAAAATGTATAAATATTTAATTGATAATAACTCATGAAGACTTTTCACTAAACAGGAATGATAAATCAATATGAGTGCTTAGAGCTCAAGCTTACACAGATCATTTATAAACATATCACATGAAATTGTGTGGATTCTGAAGACTATTGATACCGATGCTCAAATTAATTCAGAAACCTATCTACGTTTTTACAGTAGATACTGTAATTACAGTGAAATTAAGTTTATTTAATAGAGAAACACAGAGAAAATGGGATGTGGAAATATTGTGATATACTTATTGACAAAAACTTTGCATTCATTAGAGTTTTACTAAACATTAAGTTTCTTTCATCAACTCTGGGATGTAGGAAGGAGAAGGAGAAGGAGGACTGGAACTGTCATTTCATTTTACAGATGAGGAAACCAAAACAGGTTTGGCTAGTGATCTAACTGGACTCAACTGTTTTTTTGTACATTCAAGCCAATGGCTTTTTTCAGACAAAATAATGAAAGTTTTTTTTTTTGTCCTATTACTTCCTTGTTGTCTCTGGGTATCATTAATGCATATATAATTTAATGTATGTATAAACTAGTATTTCATGCAATATCTTTCAAAACTTATTCTTAGCTAAATGGAGCAGAAAAGACAATTATTTTTCCTTTAGTCCTCAGTGTTTTATTTCAATTCTTAATAGCCATCTGAGCTTTGAACTCAGAATCAATAGGAATCCATGTCTAAAAGGCACTATTTGGTAAGATTTCCTTACAGGATGATTTCTACACACTTAGGATTAAAATGCCTTTTGATTTCTAATTCTTCAATAAGTGCAATTCTTATTTTCCATGATTATAATCCTGCTTTTGGGAGAGATTCAGTCAAAATCTTATAATTTTATTTATAGTATATATAATATGTTATACATATGCATGTATATATGTATAATAATATTTGTAATTTTAATTATTTTAGTTCTCTATGTACTCCTTTGAATACAGTTTCATTTAGAAAAAGAAGTCTCTCATGTTTAATTTTAAACATCTAAGTTGGGCCCATCAAAAATGTTACCTGGTGATCATTTATTGAGGAAGCAAAGCATTTGTAAAAGTTTTTAAGAAGCATGTCTAATTTTAAAGGTTTTGTATTTTGGAAACACTTCTTAGGCTTACTTCAAGAACAGTAACTACGGTGTTGGTACCTATGCACACATGTAAAAGGGAATTCATGATAAATATTACTTTTAAACTTGAATGCACCGGCAGACAAACTGACCTTCAGTTACTTGAAAGAAAGTCTTTATGAAGCAGGTTTAGGCAGAAGGATATGAAATCCCTCTGAGAATAAGACACAGTACAAGGAGCTCCTTTTTCTTCCCTCCTATGCTTTCTTTAAATCATTTTTTCATTCACACTGGATAAACTAGGCTTCTATTTTACCTGCCTTTGCAGGGCTCTCTGCAGGACTGCGGATTTGGAACTGCTGTGACCAGTCACCAACAAAAAGTCCTACTTAATCAAACATGTGATTTACAAATCTTCCAGGAACCATTCTTCCATTTTCAAGTGGGAGGCATTCACAGTGGCCACCACTAAGCTAGAAAAAAATATTTTCCTTCTCCATTCTGGCAACTTTCATTGTTCAAAGTAATTATGCACTTGCTGATTATTTTTCTCACTTCATGCTCTGTATCTGATTATAAGTGTCTACATTCTTAGAGTTTAGTTGCATTGTGAGCATCCCCTAGAGCTATCAGCAGTAAGAAAGTCTGTGCAAACTCTAAAACTATGAAGAACCCCTATGTATGTTTAGTTTAAAAAGGATTTTTCTTCTTCAAGTAACTATCCTAACATTTAATAAGTGTGTTTGTTGAAACTTTGAATCTGATGTGCACTTCACACCATGTCATATTTTGAAAATTATATAAAGCTTATATAAAACTTTAAAACATATATCTTAATAAGACAGGCCAAATGCATAATTCCCATGTGATCATCACTATATTTTTAAAACACCTGAACTCTCCCCTTTTTCTTCTTTTGCATAATATTTCAATCAATACTAATCAATAGTGCCAGTCTATACTGGCAAGAAACATGGTCTATGTCAGGGCACTCGATTTAAGGAATATATTGGAAACTACTATAATTTTATTGGCATCTATCCTGACTATTAAGATCAACTATTAAGATCAAGTTTTACTGTATGTTATTAATTCCTGAGCTAATTCAAAATTTTGGATTTTCCAAGAATAATAAAAATATAAAATAGCGAAGTTAAGTCTAGTCCATTGAATCAAAGTTCACCATGAGATATTAAAGCAAGTTGAATTATTTTTTAAAAGGTTACTATAGTAGAAAAAAAAAGTCTCTAAACCCAAGAAGAAAGCAAGTGTAAAAACTTACCTTTGGCTCCCACTTGGTGAAATGGCATGAAGTGACTGAAGACGCAGAGCCAGTAGTATTTGCCCCTGACCAATGGTTGTGAATTCTGGTCTGTGGGAGGTGGAATTTATAACACTCAATTTTCTGTTTGGAAAAGCTAACCTTGAGAAATGCTTCTCAGTCTTTAAAACCCCCAAAATTACTTTATAGTCACTCAAAATAAGCAGTAGAATCCAAATGACATAGTGTATAGAGCTCTTGAAATTATATTAAAGGAGTTATAATTGCCAATGTGCCACCTTCAATATTTTAAATGGAAGAAGTTGGTTTTAATATATTTCATCTATAAAAACTTCACCAATTAAGGAAAAGTTAATGTATACAGTGATACTATAGATGAATATTTTAGAATTATTCTAATAAGAAATAGTTTTCCTTGCATGTCTTGAATTACTTTCTTCACTTTTCATTAATGTTAGCAGAAATTTCAGTAATGTTGCAAAAGCCTTACCTGTTTTAATGTTGGATAAGTAACAAGAAAAAAAATCCAAATTATTTTGATTGTTTAGAATGCTCTGAGAGCAATGAAACTATAAACCCTCTGCATGCCCATGTACAAAAAAAAAAAAAGTTGTCCTGAAACAATGCATAAATATGATCTGAGTGGTTTGAAAAAGAGGCTCCTTTTTCTCTCTTTTATCTATCAGAGCCAAACAAATCAAATTACATAAAAACATTTTCCCACAGAATACAAGATTTGTTGTAGGCTCCTGCTACCTGACATGGTTTGTGAAACTCAGCATTATGATAGGTTTGGAGAGAAAACACATTTGTGTTAACTTCCATTTTCACCTCCACCCACACTGCAAAATTCTAGAGGAAGACGAAACTTGTGTCACGTACGTTGACAGGCTTTACATAAGTCCCGGAGTCTGGTTCTAACTTGTGCATCAGGAATCCTTGTTCCTTGACCAGAAGGGAATAGCTGTGTTGAAGTTTGCAAGTGCGTTAGGGCAAACTGATGGAGGAGAAAATCTGTCTTCAGGACTCTCACTCCTCCTTCCACCTTCCCAGCCATCTCCCCCCTCACCCCAACTTCTTTGCTTATATGGATTCAGGGCACTGCCAGCCATCCTCCTCATCACCCACACCTGCTTCCAAACTTCTACATGATTTGCTCTCCGTGTGCCTTATTTTTCTGGGGACCAGTTTTATTTGTAATGGAAAGCACTGATTCTGGGTGAAGTCCAGAACCTACCAAGACCTCTCCAACAGCAAAGAGGCCATTCTGGGGGTGGGGACTCCTTTCCTGCCTCCTTGAAGTTTCACATCCTATGGAGGCTACTTCCAGAAGCACTTCTGGAAAGAGGACTGGATATGAGTTCACCGGTTAGATGAGTTTAGATATTGTTAACTCTCAACACATTTTCAATCAGATGGGTGACACACAAGCATTAAATTATCCAGTGTCATGTGTGACGCAAACAAGGAGAAAATCAAATTGGGTCAGGTTCCCAGATGTTACTGAGACCATCTGAGGGATTCAGGTAAAGGTAAAAAGGCAAGGTGTCTCTCATCTTAGATTCTAAGGCTGTTTACCTGTCCCTGGGTGTTAGGCTCTTTTAGGTGTTTGAGGATAAAAATAGATGAATAGAATATCCATGAAAATACCTGATATTTCTTCTTCTTCCTCTGTTATTTAATCCAATACTCTGCCCACATTGTCAGGTGAAAAAGATGGCATCTAGGTAGTCCCTTCTTTTCTGAAAGGCTCTCTGGCTAAACCTCTAGGACTCTATTTCCAAAAATAACATTTTCACACTATCCTTTAGTGACCTGTTCATTTAAGTGTCATTGTTCTTCAGCTTCAGAGCACTGTCCACTAATGCAGTTGTTTTGTGACAATTTAATAACTAAATTACTTGTCCTAATATAGGATTGATAGCAGAAATGATCATTCCCGAGTCTGCTCTTTTTCCAAATTAGGTAAATCTTTCACTTTTACTTATAAAATATGGATAATTTTTCAGTCACTTCTCTTCGTCTTACTTGGACTCTCTCCAATATTTCAAAATCTATTTTGAACTGTGGGAGCTCAAATTTGTAACAATCTCATGAGGACCTAATCTCTATTTAATAGTAGAAGGATTAATTACCACTTCCAGTCTTTCTTATCCTTAGTAAATATCTTTTAGCTTCATGATAATTTTCTTAATAGAGCCTGAGCTTGGTTATTAGAAACCCTCTGGGGATCTTGCATTATCTAGCAACTGAGGCTTTCTGGCTTTCTCTCTGTAAGCCCCCAAACATTTTGCAAATCCTTTTGGCTACGATTCTTAACACAATTAACTCAATGTCAGCCTGCTTGCTTAAGTGGAATTAATTTTAAACAGAATGGTCTTCTCTTAATGATTCTCTTGGTTCTGTGGCAGCGGTGATCAGAGAGGAGCACTCTGAGGACCGCACACGGCTGCCCGTCCTTGTCCTCAGCCCCCAAAAGCCACACCGGTGGGAGCTACAGGTGGGTGTCGACATCCGACCCCACTGATTATAAGGAAGAAAACCATTACCTGAAATGATTAGCTACCTTCTTACAAAGAACCCCTATGTT